AATGTGGCTTAGTTTGTAGAGTGCTTGTCTAGCATGGATGGGCCCTGGTTTCCCTCCCTAGCAATGCAGAAGCCAGGCATGGTAGTATGGACTTGTCACCCCAGCACTCGGGAAGTAGAAGCAGGAGGGTCAGGGAATTTAAGGTCATATTTGACTACACAACAGGTTCCACCTAGTCTGGGCAAGATGAGACCCTGTTTCAAGTAAGAAAAAAAAAAAATCTGTATAGAATCTGGCTTACATAAGGAGATCCTATGTCAAATAAGCAATATTACAGATGCACTCACACACACAAACTTGGGATCAAACTCATGGCCACACATATACTAGATAAGCCTTTTACCAACTTGAGCCATATTCCCAGCTCAAATTATCTGTCTGTCTGTCTATCTATCTATCCATCTTTCACTCTCTCTGTCTACACACACACACATACACACACACACACCAGTGGATTGTAAGCCTTCAGATTAATGACTCATTGAAAAAAACAACAACAACAAAGAGAGAGAGAGAGATCCTACCCTTAAAAAAGGGAGGGGGGCAGCTCCAGGGGCAGAGGTAGGTGGATCTCCGTGAGTTTGAGGCCAGCCTGCTCAACAAAGCTACACAGAGAAACCCTGTCTTGAAAAAACAAAAAACGAAAAACAAAACAAAACAAAAATTGGGAGGTCAGGGAGGGAGACAGGGAAGGAGGAAAACTAGAGAATGAAAAGTTACTGGGATCATTCATCACTTTTATTTTTATTAATTTACTCCCTAACTGTATTTTATTTATTTTTTTTTTTCTGGGGTGGGGGAGAGTGTTTCGACACAGTTTCTCTGTGTAACAGTCCTGGCTAACCTGGACCAGGTGGCCTCGAACTCAGCGAGACCCGCCTGCCTCTTCTGTGTTTTTATTTGTTACTGTTTGCTTTGCGTTTGAGACAGAGTTTTGCTCTGTGGCTCGGGCTGGTCTCCAGCTCTGTCCCCTTCCCTTCAGCAAGCTTTCTGCCATCACACCTGGCTTTGATTTTATCCCTTGAATGTATAAAATATTAACATAATTCCAGAGATCAAAATCATGCAAAACTGTGCACTCTTCCTCATCTCCTTGTTCTACCTACTCCCTGATGCAATCAGCCTTACTTGTTTGCCAGTTTTTCCTTTATGCTTATTTTTGCAAAAACAAGCAGAGGCGAATGTATTCTCTGTCCTCGCTCTCTTTCCCAGTTCAACACTGAGGATTGAATTTAGGGCCTCCTATGTGCTACACAAGTATTCCTCTGTTTCCACATCCCCAGCCTGGGGGGATTCTAGACAGGGGCTCTACCACTGAGCCACACCCCAGCCTGGGGGGATTCTAGGCAGGGGCTCTACCACTGAGCCACACCCCAGCCTGGGGGGATTCTAGGCAGGGGCTCTACCGCTGAGCCACACCTTAGCCTGGGGGGATTCTAGACAGGGGCTCTACCACTGAGCCACGCCCTAGCCTGGGGGGATTCTAGGCAGGGGCTCTACCACTGAGCCACACCCTAGCCTGGGGGGATTCTAGACAGGGGCTCTACCACTGAGCCACACCCCAGCCTGGGGGGATTCTAGACAGGGGCTCTACCACTGAGCCACATTCCCAGCCCCTCACTGGAAGATTCTAGGCAGGACTTTACTACTGAGCCAAGTCTCCAGCCCCTCACTGGGGGTTCTAGGTGAGTGTTCCACCACTGAAGCCACACTCTACACCCCTATTGTTTTTTTTTTTTTTAAATCTTCATTATTTTGATATGATTTCACTGGGTTGCTCAGGCTGGCTTTGAACTCACAATGATCCAGGCTGGCCATGAACTTTCAGATGTAGGTCCTCTGCAAGAGCACCAAGTACTCTTAAACTCTGAGTTATCTCTTGAGTCCTCCTATCGTGCTTTTTAAAAATATTTTTATATGTATATGGATGTTTTGACTATCTGTGTGTCTGTGCACCATATGTGTGCCTGGTGCCCACAGAAGCCAGAAGGGGATGTCGTATCCCTAGAATTAATTCTGTAGACAGTTATGAGCTGCCATTGTGCAGAGAATTGAAACCTAGGTCCTCTGGAAGAACAACTAATACCTCTTAACCATTAAGCCATCTCTCTAGCCCTCGTGTTTGGTCTTAAGGCGACCTGAAGCCACATAAAAGCGGAAAAAAAGAATAGACTGTGGGCTGGAGATGTGGCTCAGTGGTTAAGACCACTGGTTACTCTCTTCCAGAGGTTCCAGGTTCAATTCCCAGCATCCACATGGCAGCTAACAACTGTCTGTGACTCCAGGTCCAGAGTATCTGACACCTTCACACAGACACACAGAAGCAAAAACACCAATGCATATAAAATAAAAATAAACAATAATAAAAGAATAGACTGTGTATAGCTATCCTTTAAATCCCATGTTTGCTGTGTTAGGTACAACACCCCCCTCCAAATACACCATCCATTCACATACAAAAACAAATACCTTTCAGAATGCTCCCTTCTTTCACACGAAAGAGTACATTCTAAGCTGGTTAATGGTGGTGCAGCCTTTAATCCCAGCACTTGAGGAAGATCTCTGTGAGTTTGAGGCCAGCCTGGTGAGTTTTCAGGAAAGCCAGGGCAAAAGAGAGAGAGAGAGAGAGAGAGAGAGAGACTCTCAAAACGACAAACAGAAAAGTACATTCTCTATACTCCTATGCATATTTTCAGTTTTCTTTGATCTTACATTGTGGATTTTGGAGACAAAGTCTCATAAAGTCCAGGATGACCTTGAACTCCTGATGCTTCTGCTTCTTCTACCTTCCCAGTACTGACTGGGATTACAGGCATGCACAATTATACCTGGTTATATGTAGTGCTGGGGAAGGAACTTAGGGTTTCATGGGTACTAGGAAGTCACTCTACCACTGAACTATACTCAACACTTTCCCATATTTTTGTTTGTTTGTTTTAGTCTTTTCAAGACAGAGTTTCTCTGTGTAGTCCTGCAACTCTCTCGTAGACCAGGCTGGCCTCAAACTCAGAGATCCACCTGTCTCTGTTTCCCAGTTCATCGATTAAAGGCTAGAACATTTGCCCATGTTCTTCAAAGAACACACACACACACACACCCAAGAAAGAAATAAAAGAAGGGAAGGATTTATTTGCTTGTGCATACCTAGCACTCATAGCCTTGAAGAAATATTGTCTGGACTGATCTAAAAGATGAATTCGTTTAGTTTTTAAGAGTATGGGTGTTGGTCTGCATGTATGTCTATGCACCGTGTGTGTGCGGTGTTCATGGGGGTCAGAAGAGGGATCAGACACCTTGGAACTGGAGTTACAGACATTTGTGAACCACTGTGTGGATGCTGGGAACTGAACTTGGGCCCTCTGCAAGAGCAGCAAGTGCTACTAACGGCTAAGACATCTCTCCAGCCCCTAATGAGTGTATTAAATAGTTTTTCATTTATTAATTATGGAGGGGTGCGGCAAGTGCCATAGAGCTCATTTAGAGGTCAGAGGACAACTTGTGGGAGTCAATTCTCTCTACCGTGTGTATTGAACTCTTGTGGATTGAACTCAGGTCTTCAGGGTTGTCAGCAAGTGCCTTTACCCACTGAGCTATCTCAGCCTATGAAATTCATAGGCTTTAAACATTTGAGGTGTAACTCACATAAGACGCACCTCATATAGTACCATGACTTTTTGTAGAGCCAAGGGTGCTCAGTTACCCCTTTAGCTGACTTTAACGGATCCGTAGTACTGGGTTATAGACAGTTGTGAGCTGCCATTGTGGCTCAGAGAATGGATCCCAGGTTCTCTGGAAGAGCAGCCAGTCTTCTTAACCACTGAGCCCTCTCTCTAGGCCTCCTAAGAATATTTATACTTTGTGTGTGTGTGTGCATACACATTCTTGTGTGCGCACACACGTGCACACAGGCAATAGGGTTGACAGTGGTCTTGATCTCCACCTTATTTTTGCTTTTAACCTTCTCTGGATCTCTCATCCTCTAGGACTTGGATGAAGCCATGTTTCTTTGATACCCTTGTTCTTCTTAATCCCAGGCTTTGTGCCTCTTGTGGAACCCCATGGTGCTCAGTGAGACAAGCTTGGTAGCACATGCCACCCACCATGCATGGCATGGGTGGTCACTGTCCAGTCTTGTATCTCTTTCAGTGGTTCTGAGGTCACAGATGGCAGATGGGGGGGGGGGGTGAGAGCAGCTGGTGGTTCTCTGCACCTAAACGAGGCCTGGAACAGGAAGGAGGTCCTTCACCGAAGTGAACTCTGACCTGGCTTGTCATGAGAGCTACTCCGGAGGCTGAGAGGATCGAAAAAGTTCAAAGCCTGTCTGAGCAGGTTTCTGAGACCCTGTCTCAAAAGTGTAAAAGGAGTGCCGGGGACAGAGCTCAGCGGCAGAGCTCCAGCCAGCAACCCGCTAGGGGCTGAGAACCAATTGCGGGATACCTGCCTAGATAGAATTCACGAGTGAGGGGCAGAAGTCGGTGTGGAGGCACCGACTCTCATAGAATCCACCAGTGAGAGGCTGAGGCCATGGCTCAGCTGTGGAGTTCCTGCCTCGAATTCACCAATGAGAGGCAGAGGTCATGATCCAGCAATAGGTTCTTGCCGAGAGTCCACCAGGAAGGGGCGGGGCTTGTGACTCAGCAGTAGAGTGTTTGCCTAGAACCCCCCACTGTGAGGCTGGGGGTTTGGCTCAGTATTAGAACACCTGCCTAGAGTCCTCTAGTTGGGTGCAGGGACATTGCTCAAAGGTAGAGCCCATGCAAGCCTAGAATCCCCCAGTGATGAGGGGAGTGGGGATAGCTCAAGTAGAGCCTAGAATCCTCCTGGTGTGTGTGTGTGTGTGGGAGGGGGGCTGTTGGCTTGCTTAGAGGTAGAGCATTTGCATAGCATGCTGAGAAGAGTGTGTAAGGTTAGTCCTAGATACAGAATGGAGATGGAAGAAAAGCAGTGAGCTAGATTTGGGTGCTCCTTTCCCATGTTCCTGGCTACCCTTCTCCCTGCAGGTCTCTCCTTGGTGGTGGGGTTGGTTCTGTACATCTCCAGCATCAATGACGAGGTCATGAACAGGCCCAGCAGCTCCGAGCAGTACTTTCACTATCGATACGGGTGGTCGTTTGCCTTTGCTGCCTCCTCTTTTCTTCTCAAAGAGGTGATGTGTTGGGCCCAGACTACCAATTTGAAGGAGGGGGTGGGGGGTGTGTCGGGGTGTTCCAGCTCCTGGGGGACTTGAGCAGATGAGGTCTTCTGGGTTTGTGGAGGGGGAAACACACACACACACACACACACACACACACACACACACACACACACAAAACCAAACTCCTGAGGTTTGGACCTTCTGAGGTCTTAGGGGTGGGTGTCCTGGGTTCTTGGAGAGGAGGGGCCCTGTGACGAAAATCTGATTAGTCCCTGTGCCCAGGAGGAAAGGAATTTTGTGGGTTATAAGGGGGGTGGGCAGTGTGGGTCTAATCTCTGCATCCCAGAGAGGAAATAGCCTAGGTGTTCTAGCTCCTGGGGGGGGGGTCTTGGGAAGGAAGAAGCTGAAGGAATGCCCTTGACATTTTGGAGGATGGGGGAGCCCTTGGGCCAGAACACAGCTGGGGGGGGGGCTGTCTCTACTTTGAAACGGGAGGGTCTGGCAGTCTGATTCCTGGGTCCAGGAGGAAGAGGGGACTGGGGGTGTGCCTGTATTATGAGGGAGGTAGGTTAAACTTTGAGTCTAACTTCTGGGTCCTAGAGGAGATGAGGGCTGGGGCCTCTTGGATTTTGCAGAGGTCTTGGGCGTGATATGCAGCTGCGACTCCCAGGTTTTGGAAGGGGAAACGGCAGGAGACTGCCTCTGGGATTCTGACCCGTGCCTTGCCACAGGGGGCCGGAGTCATGTCCGTGTACTTATTCACCAAGCGCTATGCGGAGGAGGAGATGTACCGCCCGCACCCGGCCTTCTACCGCCCGCGTCTCAGCGACTGCTCTGACTATTCGGGCCAGTTTCTGCAGCCTGAGGCGTGGCGTCGAGGTCGCAGCCCTTCTGACATCTCCAGCGACGTCTCCATCCAGATGACGCAAAATTACCCTCCAGCCATCAAGTACCCCGACCACCTCCACATCTCCACTTCACCGTGCTGAGGCCGGGCTTCCTCTCTCTCCTCTTCCTCCTCCCTCCCTTCACCCGTGCCTCCCCCCCATGCAGCCCCAATCCCTTAAGGGACTCTTGGCTGAGGGGATACTTTGCCATCTCCAGGCCCCATTCCATCACCCTTATTTCAATGGCTCCGCCCTCTTTCCAACCTCTCCTCTTTGGTCCATCAACCTCCCCTTGAGCCTGTTGCTCCCTTTCCCGGTCCCTCTCCTGGTCCATCCCCACCCATTATTTCTAATCCGGTTTACTATTCTCTGGTGGTATCTTGCACTTAGCTCCCCCCAAACCCTTCAGACTCCCGCTTCCATGCAGCTAGCGGTGCGGGGCTGGAGAGTGGGTGTGACTGCCACTGGAGATGCCCTTGAACTCCCCTCGAGTCTCTCCTGGCACAATCCCTCGTGCCCTGCAGGTCACTGGTGTCAGCGGCGGGTGGGGAGAGGCTTGCTCTGCCCACGTCTCTGGTTGGGTCAGGGGCTACAGGGATAGAACTATGGCTTACCTTGACTTTTCTTTTTTCTGTCGCCTCGGGGAGACTCCATTCCCTCTTTCTTTTGTCCATTGGAACTCTGGGAGGTGACTTTCTTCTTCCTTCTTCCTCCTCCTCCTTCTTCTTTTTCTTCTTCTCCTCCTCCTGCTCCTCCTCCTCCTCTTGCCACTTCTATCTTTTCCTTCCTCCACCTACTCATCCGAAGCCCCTAGGTGCATTCAGCCTCTCACACCAAACAAGGATGGGACCCCAGGGTGGAGGGAGACTCCCTCATGCTATCTCCACACCTGTGCCCGCCTCTCCCGCCTCGAGGTCCCGTCGGGGGAGGGAGGGGCAGTAGCGGGGGTTAACACCCCCCCAAAACCTCTGTCTTCCATTTTCTGGTACTCCCTCTCATCCATGTCCCTCTGCCCATCTCAGATCCCCAACTCTGGCCCCTTTCTAGGGCCTGTCCGCCCCCTTGGACAGATTTGGGGTGGGGGTCGCCAGAAAACCGCCCATCCCACTCCCTTTATTAGGGGAGGAGGGGCGAGGTAGCACAGTGTTAACACACGGAACCAGAACGGCCCCGGGGGTGGGGGGAGGGGGGCAGGGTAGGGACGGGGGCTTTTAGTTTGCATCTTAGGGGGGAGGGGGGAGTGGGAACCGCAGCAGTTATAACCTGTCTTTACGCAGCGATTTTTAATGAGGCTGGGGGAGGGGGGAGGGAAGCAATAAGGGTGGGGAAACGGTCGGGTGGGGGGCCTGGCTCTGTTATTTACCGTGTATCATATGTAAATACCGACAGAAACTTCAATAAACTTTATTTCAAACACGTTTCTGCCTAACCAAAGGGAGGGGGGGGGATTGAACACAATGGGGCCTACAGTATCGGTTTCTCTTGAGGGTAAAGTGCTGTTATTCTGATTGGATCTCGCCATGCACCTTCAGTCCTCTTACTCAGGAGGCAGAGGCAGACAGATCTGAGTTCCGGGGCAGCCAGTGATGATACCTTGTCTTCAAATATAGAACACCACACGGCAAGGTTTGTAATTCCCGACTTGGGAGACAGAGGCAGGAGAATTGCTGCAAGCTCTGGGCAAACTTTGAAGGCGTTATCAGAAAAACAAAACAAGGACCATGGAGACGTCTTAGCTGACCACTCTACCTGAGCTTGATGCCTAGAGCCTACTTTTGTAAACTGGGTGTCACAAATACACACACACACACAATCACAGTGGCATGCAATGCTTGAGACCCCTTGTCCCTTCCCTTCCTCCCCACAATAATAATAAAATTAAAAATAAGCCAGGTGGTGGTGGTGTCACACACCTTTAATGCCAGCACTTGGAAGGCAAGAGACATGCAGATCTCTGAGTTTGAGGCCAACCTGGTGGTCTTCAGAGTGAGTTCCTAGATAGCCAGGGCTACGCAGAGAAAGCCTGTCTCAAAACAAAACAAAAGAAAAAAAAAAAAAAAAAAAAAAAAAAAAAAAACACCACAACAAAACTAAGTAAGGATTTGGCTTGTAGCCCAGCTGGTAGAGGGATTGATTGCCTAGCATGCCCGAGGCCCTGTGTGCTCATTCTCAGCCAGGCATTGGTACTCAGGAGAGGGAAGCAGGAGGAACAAGAGTTGAAGGTCATCACTGGCTATGAGAGACAGGAGAGAGTTGAAAAATTAGGTTATTTAAGCAACACCTTATAGCTCAGTCCGTTTGAGGACAATAAATGACCACAGGGTTAAGGTCAATGCAAAACAAACAAAAACCCATCTCTTGCTCCGCCTCTGACTGCCTACCACCGTCCTGTCACCGGGCATCCACACTGCTCTCTCTGACTTTCTTCCCGAGACCCCTGTTGAATTTAACGGCCTCTTCGTGCCCAATCAGCCTATGAGGTGAATGGCTCACCTGAGAGCCTTCACACACAAGGGACAGCCTTTGACCGGCAGGCACCAAGTCAGTCTGGCTCCGGAACCTGTGCTTCCTTCCCGGATGCAGCAGTGGGCTTCCCTTTCGATATGGTTGAGAAAAGACTGCAACTATCTAGTAGTACAGCTACCTCCAGGCAGATGCTTCCGATCTGAACATAATTCCATTAGCCATTCACAGTTAGTGGGTGTGTAGGGATTACCGCTGCTTGCATAGGTGAGGGATGGGGAGGCTCAAAATTGGATTCCACTATACTGAGAGACAGCCAAAATACAAAATATCTGATAAATCTATAGCTGAGATCTCTCTCTCTCTCAAATTGAATCCAGGACCTCCTGAATGCAAGGCTAGAACTCTATAGCTGAGCCACACCCCCAGCCCCTCACTGGGGGACTCTAGGCAGATGCTTAATCACTGGCAACCCCCCCACACACACACATACACACCCCTATGACCCTAATAAGCTTAATCTTGAAAAATATTGGAAAGAATTGATATGTGCCTCATGATGTCTCATCTGTGCAATGATAATGACCCTGAAGCTATGACACCTGGGTCACAACCACAGCCATACTGAGGGAACATTTTTCGTTCATTTAGCCACTGTTTCCTCCCCCTCCCCACCATCCTGTGAACTCAGCATTCCTACTAGCCCCATGTCACAGGTGAAACGACTAAGGCATAAGGAGATGAGGTTATCCAGCTGTCAACGCGGCGTGAACTAGTACCCAGGCTTTCCTTCTTTCCTTGATTCACAGCCAATTAGCTGTTACATTAAAATATATATATGGGGTGGGCATGGGAGGTCAGAGGACTTGCTTTCAGCAAGCAGGTCTCCCCCTCCTGTCATGTGGCTTCCCGTGAATGAACTCAGGTTGCCAGGCTGGTGGCCAGCCCCCTTCCCCCTGGCGAGCAACTCGCCATCCCCAGCTGCTACATTTTACCACTGCAGATTTTATGCAAACTCATGCTGTGACCTTGAGCGAGTCTTTTTAATTTCCGATGCTTTGGTTTCCTTTTCCGTCTAAAAAAGAAAAGAAAAGTGAGGGGCTTGGTTTGGAAGGGTTCCAAATCCCTCTGGTAATGGGGAGGACGCGGAACTCAAGATTCTGCAGGGTCAGACTCCCCAGGGGGGAAATACGTTCCGAGTCATTTTCCGTGATTCCAGGAATTTCTGAAGGTCGGGCTGGAGATTTGCAACGGCAAATACAGTTCAGCTTCTTTGTTGGGACTAACGGATTCCTAGTGTGGCTTGGAACACGGTATTGGGAGGATTCTGAACGTGTATTTATTTGCTCAGGAGGAGAGAATGTCCCCAACTATCGGCGCTGTCTGCCATGCTGACCAACTGATGCTGTCTGTGGAGCCTGTACCATGGGCGGTTATGGGACAAGTGCTGGCTATTGCTATCGGCACAGAACATAGCAACCTAAAAATCCAGGTAGCTGATGTTCTCTTTTAAGAAACGTGAAGCCATGGGGCTGTGGCGACGGCTCAGTGGATGGGAGGGCTTGCTGTCTAGGTATGAGGACCTGAGTTCAAATTCCAGGCACTCATAGAAAAAGGTGGGTGTGGCCACATGGGCCCGAAACTCCAGCACTGTGAGGGGCAGAGAGGAGGGTTGCTAGGGTTTTAAGGCTTCTGGTTTAGTTAGTGAGCCAGTGGCAGAGCCTGTTTCAAAAATGAATATGGCTGAGACGCTCATGTCCTCCTCTGGCCTCTCCTTGTGCACACAGGTGTGCACATCTACACACACACACACACACACACACACACAGAGAGAGAGAGAGAGACACAGAGAGACAGAGACAGAGAGAGACATAAAAATCTTGAAAACAAAAAGTTCACTTTTGTTACCTTGGCAGGACCTAGAATCTTCTAGAACACAGGTCTCTAAGCAGGCTCTTGAGAGATTATCTAGAATAAGTTAATTTGGGTGGGAAGACCGAGTGGCTCCGTGGGTCCTTTCCACTTGACAGAAGGGAGAGTCAGTGGCTGCGAGGAGAGATCACTGGTTGAGAGAAGGCCTTCAATAGACTGGCCTGTAAGTAAGTCTGTGAGAGATTTCCTTCATCAACAATTGATGTAGGAGGGCTCAGATCACTGTGGGCACTGCCCCTACCAGCCAGGTGGTCCTGGGTAGTGTAAGAAAGCAGACTGAGGGGCTGGAGAGATGATGGCTCGGTGTAAGAGCTGACTGCTCTTCCAGAGGTCCTGAGCTCAATTCCCAGCAACCACATGGTGACTCTCAACCATCTGTAATGAGATCTACTGTCCTCTTCTGGCCTGCAGGCACACATGCAGGCAGACACTGCATACATAATGAATAAATAAAATATTAAAAAATAATAAAATAGCACTAACTGCTCTTCCAGAGGACCCAGGTTCAATTCCTACAGATCACATTGCAGATTACAACTGTCTGTACCTCCAGTTCCAAGGGATCTGACACTTTCATACCAATGCACACAGGATGGATTTAAATAAATTACTTAAAAAAAAAACAAAAAAAACAGAAGAAGCAGCTGAGCCTGTGATCTGCATTCTTCCTTAGTCCTCCCTCCCCCTTCAGTCCTAGACCTGACTTCCCTCAAAGACTGTGAACAGGGTGATATGTAATCCAA